TGTGTGTGTGTGCGTGTGGTAGCCGCACTATGGAGGGTGCCTGATGAGCTTATCAGTGACTGCAAATGCTGGTTATAGTTACAAAATACCCTTACAGCAGTATCTAGATTAGCACTGGACCAAATTACAGGAACCACCACTTGTGACCATGGTAACAAAGATTAGTCATCCCATTTGCTAACATCAAGTTCTGGGTGGAGGCTCATTTTACAATTCAGGTAAAGTCATTCACAAATCCACATTTCACTTGACATTAAAAATATCAGCTCAGTGTCTAAGTGGGTTCCCTAGTAAGGGGAACAGGGACTGTCTCTGACAAGAACTCAGTGGCTGGATCTTTGATCACCTCCTCCTGAGCGGGAAGCAGCCTTACCAGGCCACAGAGGAAGACAGTGCAGCCAGTCCTGATGAGACCTGATAGGCTAGGATCAGAAGGAGGGAGAGGAGGACCTCCCCTATCAGTGGACTTGGAGAAGGGCATGGGAGAAGATGAGGGAGGGAATAAGGGAGGAGGTTACAGCTGGGACACGAAATGAATAAACTGTAATTAATATAAAAATAAAAATTAAAAAATCTTTCTGGGCTAGGAATATGGTTCAGCAGGTAAAAGCACTTGACACACACCCTGCCCTCCCCCCCCCAGACTGGTCCTGGAACCCAGGAAAATGCTGAACATAGTGGCATCACCTGCAGCCTTAGCACACCTACAAAGAGACAGCAGAAGGGACGCTCGGCTAGAAGCTCTCGGGAGTGGCACAGCACAGCAGTGCAGCAGCAAGAGACAGACAGTTCCTCAGCACCCTGAAGGTGAGAACCAATCCCCACAAGCTGTCCTCAGGTCTCCACCTCCTTCCAAAATCATGCTAAATCCTTACCACATTCATGGGCTCCTTAAACACTAAGAATGTGAAGAGTTAAGTCTGAAGTATTAAAGTCAGAAATGTTGCGACTCAACCTGGATGCACAGACTGCAGCCCCCGCCCCACCTCTTCTGAGACTGCGTGGAGCAGAGACACCCAGCACAAGCAGAAGAGCAGGGCCAGCTCTGGCCTGTCTTATGGGTGTTGTTTGGCTCAAGTTCTGACGTTTTGTTGTGTATGGGGGTTTTGTTGTTATTAGTTGAGGGTTTGCTTCATTGCTGCTGGAAGGACTTCAGAGTGATGGACATGTGGTCCGTCTGGTAGCTCAGGCTAGCCTGACAATCCTGACTCTCTTACCAGCTAGCCTGACAACGCTCCCGCCTGGCTTCAGGTGCTGATGGCATGCAAGCACGTGCCAATCAACCACTAACACCTTCTTCCGCAATGTGACTACTACATTCATGAACCTTCGTGTATCACAGAGTACTTTTCCTCCTTTGATTTTTTTTTTCCCTTAACTACTTAAAAATGCTAATCCAGGCCAACAAGATGATGACTCAGCAAGCAAGGGTGACCGCTGCCAGGCTGGGCAGCCTGAACTCAACCCCAAGACCTCACACAATAGAAAGAGAGAACTCGTACAGTCCTGCAAACTGTCCTCGGAGCTCTACACATGTGTGGGGGTACACACACATACACATACACACACGTTTACACACAATAAAAATGAAAATAAGCTGTTAAGACAAATAGCATTTACTAATGAACTCGTAAATGAAAACACCGTGCATCTGCATTAAAGCAGCCATTTAAACAGTTAAAAGTGTGTGTGTGTGTGTAAACATTCTTGGCCAACATGCTCTAACAGCAGCCATGGAATGGATTTAGCTTGTCAGCTGTAGTTTACCAGCTTTTGCTCTAGAAGTCAGTAGAGAAAAGAATGAAAGCTCAGAAGGGGACAAATGATTGCTATGTCAGAGGTCTTTACAATTAAAAAAAAAATAGATAAAACAATAAGTCAAAGAATACAAAGAAAACACAGGCTCACCAAAGAAAGTATATTAAAGTCCATCTTCCTTTATGAAATGAGGCGTCTCCCTGACTCCCACGTCCCTCCCACACTCAAGTAACTCTCTCAAGCAACCACGGGAGTATACCAAGATGCCCAGCGCCAAATGCCAAGGTCCATAACATGAGTATGGCAGATTAGCCAAAAGGCCTTTGAAGCTGGGATCAAACTGAAGATCTCAAAACAGGTTATTCTGAATTATATGAATGAGATTTAAATAATCCCAGCATCCTCAAAAGAGGCAGAAGGAGGGCCAGGGTCTAAAAAGGACTGTGCTGAGGGAAACAGGACCAGTCTGGGAGGCCTGGTGATGGTACTGGGGCTGAAAGCAGAGGGGAAGGCTCTATGCCAAGGAGTGCCAGGATCCGATTCTAGGGAACGTTCTCCCCTTCCTGAGCGACGTCTAATGTCTGGTGCGAAGCACAATCTGTTATTTTAGGCCACTACGCTGGCAGTAGCTTGTTAAGAACAGGAATCCCTCAGTGGTTTTGAAAGGCTATCTGGCCAGAGTGCTGGGAAAAGCACATCACAGTCACAGACTCCGAGACTACTGTGTAGCACTGCTGAGGGCAGGCATTACTCGGCTTACCACAGGCAGTGCTGAACTAGCAGAGTTATTCCTAGCTGGGCATGATGGCCACGTTGGAGGCTGAGGCAGGAGAATTTCCAGGAGTTCAACACCACCCTGGACTACATAACAAGTACCGAGCTAACGGCCAGACCTACATTTGAAAAACAAGGAGGGTGTGGGGACAGAGAGATGGCTCAGCCAGTCAGAGCACCTGCTGCTCTTGCAAAGGACCCAGGTTTGATTCTCGGGACCCACATGGCAGCTCACAAGTTCCAGGAGATCTCCAGTGCCCACTTGTAACCTCTAGGGGCACCTAGCATGCACATGTGATGGACAGACACACATGCAGGCAAAAAATAAAAAATAAATATAAAAAAATAAATTAACTAACAATTCAAACATTTCTTAGAGGGGAGGGGAGGTGTGAGGGGAGGGCTCAGCAGTTAAAAGCACTTGCTGCTCAGTCCTGAATTTAACCTCTAGAATCCCCTGCGGGTCCTGGTGAAGGGGAAAAGCCCCTCTCATGATGGCACTTGCATACATACACATAACATTATCAACATACTCAAATTAACTGGTTAAACTGTTAAAAATATCAAACAACAGTTCTTTCTGCTTAAGCATATTTTAAACAAATGAAACAGGTTTTAACATACAGAGAGAAACTACAGGAAATCCCATAGCCCTGCCCCCAAAGCAAGGAGAAGTGAAAGCCTTCCCTGCCCTGGCCCAGCTGGCAGAGCACAGCCTAAGGAGGCAGGGGGCTGGGAAGAGCAGGGTCTGAAGGGGACTCTGGTGTTAGGCCAAGCAGAAGTGGGAAGTGGA